GGGGGTGGCACCCCCCGTCCCCCTCCTCGCTGTTGACAGGGTGGTCTCTCTGTCCAGCTCTGCAGGAGGATTTGAACAGGAGGCTCTTCGGGCAGCACCTGGTGAACAAGGTGGTTGTGAAGGCCGTGAGGGGCTTCTTGAACAACACCAACACCAAAAAGCCTCTTGCCCTTTCCTTGCACGGGTGGACCGGAACAGGCAAGAACTTTGTCAGCAAGATAGTCGCCGAAAGCATTTATAAGAGAGGTCTGCAGAGTAAATACGTCCATCAGTTCGTGGCAACTTTACACTTCCCTCATGCGCACAGCATCAATCTCTACAAGGTAAGAGCGTGGCGGCGGGGCACAGCTCTGCTGCAGTGACCGCTGGATTGATGCCTAAACGTTATAGCACGATTGGTACTACAAACCTTGTTTTAGACGGTAAAATACTACCTGTACCTTGTTGGAATCTTCTGGGTAAATCCTAGTATCCATCGGGACTGGTTTTTCTGTGCTTGTAAATTTTTTTGCCTGTGTTTTGAGCCTCTAGGGAAGAATGACAGTGTTATTTTTTGTCCTGCGCTTTGCTTAGGGATGTAACTGCTGTAACGGTAAGTTCGATTCAGCGAGGCTCTGTGGTTAGGTGATACGCTGGTGGGCACTGTGAAAAGCTAATAGGTCATGACCGGGGAACCACCCGGTGACCTCCAGGTGTGCCAGGTACCATGGCAAGCTGGAGCTTGCTCTCCGAGGCACAGGTTTACTTCTCAGTTTTACTGCACACCGTGCAGGTCGTTTAGTTTTTCTGTGTATCCATTTCCCAGCTGTAGCATAAAACCTCAAAATACTCTGTTGTCAGAAAGAGGTGGGTAAATGTATGTGGAATTGTTCTGCCAGGCTGGCAATTGTCAGCACAGTTCTGTAGGCAGGTGGGTATGTGGAGATGCATGTTTTCTGGTTTTTTGTGTTCTAACTAACTTTGTTAACAGCAGAGTTTGAATTATGAGTACCACTGTCTTTTGTAGTACTGAATGTTTGTAGTCCATTTGTATATGTTAAAAATGGGAACGGGATGCTCTACCAACCTGATTTCTAAATGGAGGAAATGCCAGTTTCCTCTTTTACAGCTTACTTTTCCCTTTGTTGCAACTGAGCTGTTTCAGAATAAAATGGATCCTTTTCTGCTTTTGTTTCAAGGTGATTACGCTTGGGAAACTTGCTGCCCAAGGCAGCAGGAGGAACTATCCACAGCACATCCAGTGCCACCTTTCTGTGCTGCTGCTGCAGTTCAGAGACTGTAAACAGTGACTATCAAAAAATTATGAATCACTGAAAATGGTCAGAAGAGTTACTTTTCATCTGCCAGCAGATCAATCCTTTTTTCCCCCCAATTAGTAAACCGCTAGCCCTTCTGAACAATACTGTGTTTTAGGAAAGGCTTGTAATTGTCTTCATTTAACTTCTGAACAGTGAAAACACAGGGCTGGGAATTGAATTCTGTTTCTACTTCTGCCGGTGACTGCAGCTGCAGTTTCTCACTGGTGCTGTTCAGGTAGCAAATTTAATTGTTTGTAGCTTTGACACCTAAGGATGTTCACACTAAAGTGCTGCCAGACGTAATCATCTTGCTTGTCAGGGCTTTGCCTTGTGTTGCTGTTACTTGGTGGTACCCGTCCTTAGTCCTGCTGTGCACTTTCATTCTTGCTATGTTTACGGGAGTTATCTTTCTCACAAGGAGATTTCCTGCTTGTCCCATCCTGTCTCTTGGTGCCTGAAAATTTTTTTTGGAACCAGCATGAGATTTTGGTAAAGTTTATTTACAGCTTTTGGCCATGTTTTAGTCTAGAAGCTGGAAATGTTAAAATGACACAACTGAAATGACTCGGAAGGTCAAAGCAGAAGTGCTATTTTGTGTATTTTTGACACAAACCCTTTCAGCATCTTTTATTTTTATGCTACTCAGGACCAGTTGCAGTCATGGATTCGAGGAAATGTGAGCATCTGTCCCAGATCACTTTTCATATTTGATGAAATGGATAAAATGCATGCAGGGCTCATCGACTCCATCAAGCCATTCCTGGACTACTATGAGCTTCTGGATGGGGTGTCCTACCGACAAGCCATCTTCATATTCCTCAGGTAAGAAGTGGCCTCTCAGGTTTGTTCTTCTGTACGCTCGATGCCCTTTGAAAGTACCTGCAGCTACAGTCTTGGTTTTCTCTTCCCTTAGCAATGCAGGAGCTGAAAAGATAACAGAGGTGGCACTAGATTTCTGGAGAAACGGGAGGACAAGGGAAGAAATACAGCTCACAGATATACAAAACGCACTGTCTGTGTCCGTCTTCAATAACAAAAATAGTGAGTAAAACTGATTGCTTTTGATGGGGGTAAAAGTTCCGCAAGAGGGATGGAAACAATGCCCACAGCTATGATTTGTACTTGATGTGGCCTCCAGTTTTCAGCTAGCAGGGAGCCATGGTGCCGTTTTGGGGCCTACAGACAGCTCCTGAGATGAAACTGAGGGTAAGGAGCTCCATGGGCACCTTAGCTGCCAGTACGTTTGCTGTCTTTTGGCCTGTTTATGTTGAGGGAAGGCTACGCTGTGCGTTTGTTGGCGTACAGTAAGCAAACAGAAATTCTGACAAGGCTAGATATTGCAATAGCTGAAAAATCTTTAACCAATAAAATGTTTTATTATGGGGAAGCCACATCCTTGGCCCCCAACCCATGTAGCTTGTCTTGCTCAGTCTGTTAAAAGCTTTCAGGCAGATATTTATGGGGAAGAAGACTGCCCACAGCAGAGCTGGTAGGTCAGCCAGTGTTTTCTAGGTTTTCTCACGGGGTTTCTGGTGAAAAAGGTTTTAGACATAATTACCATTTAAAACAAGCACTGGAAGCAAACATACTGTTTTTTTGAAAAAGCTCACATGCAATCTCTGAAAAAGGGAGCAACACACACTGGTCTGGGAGGGCAGATAATAGATAGGAAATCTGTTGTTCTGTTGGCGAGGGAGGTGAAGGCACGAGACCAGCATCCTGGGGAGCAAGGCTTAAATGCATTCAGTTAGAATTTATTCCTTCAGCTCCAGTGGACCACATCTGTGTGTCTGTCCAAGACTTGATGCACAAAATACCATGAGAACAGGCTTGTATTTGGACTTACTTGTCCATTATAGGGCCCTAAAACCACAGATAAATTCTTACTGCTTTGTAACATCACGTGTCTTGTTCCCGTTCAACCCGTGGTAGCGTTTAACTAGAGGACTGTCATGGTTTAAGCCCAACCAGCAGCTGAGCACCACGCGGCTTCTCCCTCACTCCCCCACCCCAGTGGAGACCTCATTGCAGCTTTCCAGTATCTGAAGGGGGCTACAAGGGTGCTGGGAGAGGACTTTTTACAAGAGCCGGTAGTGATAGGACAAGGGGTAATGGGTACAAATTGAAAACAGGGAGGTTTAGATTAGACATCAGGAAGAAATTCTTCACAGAGAGGGTGGTGAGGCACTGGAACAGGTTGCCCAGAGATGTTGTGGATGCCCCATCCCTGGAAGTGTCCAAGGCCAGGCTGGATGTGGCTTTGAGCAACCTGGTCTAGTGGAAGGTGTCCCTGCCCATGGCAGGGGGGTTGGAACTAGAAGATCTTTAAGGTCCCTTCCAACCCAAACCATTCTATGATTCTATGATAGGGGAGAGAATTAGGAGAGTGGGGGTGGGGGGGGAAAAGTCATGGGTTGAGATAAGGCCAGTTTAATAATTGAAATAAAAGAAAATAGTAATCAAGCTGCTGAGGTCTAGTGGAAGGTGTCCCTGCCCATGGCAGGGGGGTTGGAACTAGAAGATCTTTAAGGTCCCTTCCAACCCAAACCATTCTATGATTCTATGATAGGGGAGAGAATTAGGAGAGTGGGGGTGGGGGGGGAAAAGTCATGGGTTGAGATAAGGCCAGTTTAATAATTGAAATAAAAGAAAATAGTAATCAAGCTGCTGATAAAAGAATATACAAAACAAGCAATTCACAATGCAGTTGCTCACCACCCACCGACCAGTGCCCAGCCAGTTCCCAAGCAGCGGCTCCCTGGCCAGCTTTCCCCTAGTTTTTGCACTGAGCATGACATCCTATGGTATGAAATATGCCTGTGGAGGGTTTGGGTCAGCTGTCCTGGCTGTGCCCCCTCCCAGCCTCCTGTGCACCCCCAGCCTTCCCAGTCGGTAGAGCGTGAGAAGCTGAGGAGTCCTTACCTGTTGTTAACAAGTGCTTGCTCCGAGTAAAGCATCGGTGTGTTATCAACATTATTCTCACACTGGATCCAAAACACAGCATTGTACTTGCTACTAGGAAGAAAATTAACTGTCCCAGCTGAAACCAGGACAGGAGATAACCCCCTTCTCTTTCACTTCCTAGGTGGATTTTGGCACAGCACCTTGATTGACAGGAATCTCATTGACTACTTTGTTCCCTTCCTGCCTCTGGAATACAAACATGTGAAAATGTGTGTCCGGGTTGAGATTGAGTCACGTGGCTACGCTGTGGATGAAGACATTTTAACCAGAATAGCTGATGAAATGACCTACTTCCCCAGAGAGGAGAGAATTTATTCAGATAAAGGATGTAAAACTGTGGATGCAAAGCTGGATTATTACTATGACTTCTAATGCTTTATTGCTACAACCTGCAAAGAAGCAAATTTAACTTAATCACAACATGAAGAACCCAGGACATTTCATTTTTAAGCACTTTTTAAAGAAAAGAACGTTATTTTTTAACTGGTGTGGGAATAAGCGGCAGTGCCTCTGCATTTTTATTCTGGCACTACTCACGGCTCCCAGGTACTTCAGCCTCGTGTTGCCAAGGTAAGAAAGAAATCCGGCGTGAACGCGGGGGTCTGTGCCTGACAGTGCCGAAGACCCCTCTCGGATCGCGTGTCGATCATTAGAACGGTTTGGCGGACTGTCGGCAGGTATAGAAGGACTGAAACGATGACCTCATTTTAATTGGACTTTGGTTTGGTGTGGATGATCTCGAGGTGTTGAGAATTTTAATCAAAGTTCCTTAATCAAAAGCCTTCACTGGGCTTGTGTGGGAATGTCCCTCAGACTGCGTGAAAAGTAGGATGTGTGTCGTCTTAAGCAGCTCGGTTCTAGTAAAGGTAAGGGGGGATTCTGTAATTAAAAGAAATCTGGAGTCTTCTACCCAACATCGTGCAGTACCGTTGTCTTTCTCTAAGCAGTGGTATAAATCAGCCTCCTGCGTGTCAGCCCAGGAATATGAAACTGGTGTGAACAGTGTTCAGAGGGCGGGCTTAACGTTACAAGGAAGTGAGCTAAAACCCTTGACTGCCACATCAGTGTAGTTGGTGCTTATTTTTTGTTATTTTTTTTTTAATGTATAAACTGGCCCACGGCACGTTCTCCCAGGAGTGTCCTCGGGAAGAACAAGTGTGCTGGTGAGTCAGCGTCACTTAATGGGAAAACACACAGGTTAAGTTTTACACCACAACAGTGCAAAAGCGGTTTCTCCTCTTCACCTACATGTAGAATTCCGGGGCCAGCTTGCAGGGTTTTCCTCTTTTTTGTCTTCCTACAATACTATGTGCCTTTGAGGCAGGGATGAAGACAGATCTGAAGGCATTTGAAAAAGAAAATCAATGTGAAATGTGTCCACTGAAGTTACTGTGAAAAGTGTTAGACTTGTTTCTGAATGTGAGCACTGCAGAGGCTTTTTTTCACTCCAGTTTCTATTCAAAATAAAATTTTCTCATCAGAAATGTGTTTCTTAGCTACCTGCTGGTGTTCTTTGCATTGAGTGATTCGGTGTTCATTTTGCACAAACCTGATTACTTGCTGAGGAAGAGCCTACTGCCTTTCTGGCTGCTGTTCAGCCGTGCTTGAACACGGGTGTCTCCCTTCCTGAGCTCAGAGGGAGTAGATGCGAGGAGATGTGACTCAGCTACCTGGTGGAAGGGAAACGAAGTTTGGAGGGGAAGCAGCACTTCCAGACCATTGGTACTAATTACGCTCGCACATTTCTTGTACAGGTGGACTTTTGAGGGGTGTGTGTGCTGCAGTATCATAGGGATGAGCTTGTCTTCTAGATGCTAGTTAAACCCTGCGTCTTGTCTCCTCCTCTCACTGTGGTACCCCCGAGTGAACACCCTGCAGCTTCTGATTGAAGCCACACGTGTTTTCAGTGGCAGCATGTTCGAGTTTTCTCTCACAAGGGGAAAAGAAGGGCCAGGAAGGCTTCAGCTGTCCCGTTCTCTGAAGCTGTTATATGCAAATTATCAGTCCCAGTGTTTGTCAGCAAATGAGTGCTCTGAGCTTGGGTATTTATCTGTTTCTTTGACCTCTTGGTGATAGCAAATGACTGGCCAATGGAAAAAAAGTGGATGTCAAAACTTTTTACTACCATCTTTTTTAGCAGGAACAGTTCAGCTGAGCGCTGCTTAGCTCTTCCAGCATTAAATATGCTCAGAGTTCCGCTCTGTGTGCCACTGCAGCATCAGTACTAGTGTTGGACACATCCGATAGCCCCGGATGGCTTAGGGTAGGTGGAAGCTTCCTCGAGAGGATGCAGAAATGATGTTCAAAGGGTGGAGACTGCCTCTGATCTCTCTTCTGTTGTGGAAAACGGCAGACCTGGCCAGGGCCACCTCCTGCAGCTGGGTGAAAGAAATGGGTGTCCCTGAAATCACTGCCAGACCTGCTCCCTCCGGTCCTGGCATCATCCCTCCCACTCAGACGGCAAGATCCTCGCTCTGTCTTGATGTGACTGGGTAACTTTGGGCATTATTCTTTTTAACCGTCCACTTTTGGAATTAAACAAAGGCAAACAGGGGGAAAGGTCCGATTCCCGCGGTGCAGCAGTCCATTGGCCAGGGGCGAGTAGCTGAGCAGCCACCGAGACTGAATGTTGTTTGTTCTTACCAAAGTCCAGCACAGGTAACTGCTGCTTTAATGCAGCCGCCTTCTGCAGGGAACATTCCAAGATCTGGCACTGTGCTCATAAAATTCCAGGCTATGGTTAACGGCCAGCAATGTAGGAAGTGCTGCTTTTGCTAGGAGGAGGCAGCCTGACCCTCGACCCTGACAGGGGCTGTTTTTCAGTGCTGGAGGCTGCAGATGCTCTGGCTGTGGAGATGTGATGAAAGCCTGTGGTCCTGTCGTGCCCTTGCCAGCTAGAGGAGAGGTGAAGAGCCACCCTGAGCGACAGCTTTCCAGACAGTGCAGAGGAGGAACGGTTGAACGAGCTGCCTGAGGCTTATTTGTCCTGCAGTGCCTGCCAGGGTGGTAGGAGATAGCTGTCAATAACTGAAGCAGAGTAGGCAGACACTGAGGCTTTTTCATAGGTGTTTGTTTCTACCGAGCTGTAGTTAACTGCTGAATTCCTTACTGTGCTGTTGGATGACTCAACGTGTTTTAGTATCAACAGGCCCTTTAATCTGCTTATCATTATAACTTCGTTAAGAATAAAGGAAGTTGCAGAGCAGCTGGTTGAGAACTGCATAAAATAGTACTTTCCTATAGCCAAAAATGATTCAACCCAGAGAGGAAAGGGATGTAAGATTTATTCCAACTGCAGTACAGTTTGGAAATTGCACATGTATTTTTGTAGTTGGACTAAGTGAAAAACAGATGCAGCATTTACACCTCTGAATAAGTCCGTTAATAGGCAAAACATCAGCCGTATGCGACAGTCCAACGTCCCAAGGTTAACAGCCGGCTGGCGTTCCAGAGGTTGCACCAGACACTGCCAACGCTTGACAGATTCCACGAGGGGTTGTAAAAGGCAACTGACACTCGATTTAGAAGTTAGCACAAATGCTAAGCTCTCTGTTGTAATTTAAATGAACATAATAGTGTAGAGACTTACAAAGTTTTGCATCTAGTCTTAGAGCAAGTTTTAAGTACCAGTGAGGGAGTAGATGCTGCAGCATGAAAACAGCCTGATCCCTCATGCCAGTTTAAAAAAAACACACTACAATCAACCAAGTGATAGGCACTTGTCTTGCACGATCGTATCTGAGCTACAAGGGATGGATGATGAAAGAGTTGAGGCTTGCAACAGTTTTAAACCCCAGCCTTACCAGGTGGGTGAAGGTTAGATTGTCTTTCCCAGCTTCCTAACCCATCCCTCCCTCCCTCTTCCACACAGACATTCTTAAAAAAAGCTACTATAAAACACTCATCTAGGGACATATGGGATTGGTGATTGCTGCCATCTCCCATACTCCCTTCTCTGTGGCTCTCTAGGAAGAGCTTCGTATTGCTGTTGCTTACACTTCAGTATAAAAATACACTATTAAAAATAACTTCTGTCATCAAAGTGTCTTTCCAAGCAGGGCGAGAGCAGCATTACTCGCTCCTAGGCTGCTGGGAGGGACCACTACAGATCTTGCAGACTTCAGGCCCAGGAGCAGATCAACCTGACATTGGGCTGTCACAGGCAAATCCTCAAGAGTGGGGTTTCTGATCAAGAACAGGATGTTGTAAGTCAGATCCTTCACACGGGTCTCCTTGCTTAGGAAGACACGCTCTGGAGTTATCATATACATTCACTTAGCCCCCTTAGAAGAATATAAAGCTTATTTTACCATTTCTTTTTTCCCCAAAGCAGCACAGAGAAAAGCCCTTTCTTCCCGCCGCGCACCCTTTCTCTACTATTTAGTAACAGATCTCCCTGAACTTGTCGTGACTTCCCATATTACTGTAGCAGGAGACTTGATACGATGCCACAGCTCGGACATAAACTCTAATCATGCCCTTCTATCCCTGAATAGCTGCTGCTTGTCTCTAGAAGCCACAATGGCATCGATCTGCTGTGAAGAACAGGAAGTCTCCCGCCATACCAACTTCTTGCTGCAACACATCAAGGTATTCACCCTTGCAGGCACCATCACAGTCCCAAACACACCACAGATCCCTTCAAGGAAGGAAATACGACTGCCTGGAAGAATTCTCCTTTGCTGTAGTGTAGTGTTTGTGGAAAGAGGAATTAAATAACAATCCCAGCGCTTGGCAGAATGCAGCAGGAGAGGCTATATACAGCATTCGACGTATATAAAGGCTGTGTCACACTCAGAAGTTTTCTATAGGTTAAAAAAAAAAAATAAAGGGGGCAACATTTGGGTACCAGCCAGTTCAGAGAGGAGCAGGGTGGTGTTAAGTTAAAGCCCCCCTCAGCTCGCTCATTGATTCTCACCACACTCCCTGCAACAGTAAAAAAAACCTCAAGTGCAAATAACACAGATTTCCAAAAGGTCTGAAAGTGCCTCGGAGACCGGAAGGGTAATCAATGCTTAGCTTTCATCCCTCTTATGGCATCTTCGTGAATATCCAGCTTGGCCTGTACAGTCTTGCAGCCTTTATCAGAGTAGATTTTCTGCTCTTTTGGGAAGAATGTCATCTCATCGGCCACTGCCTGAACCACCTGCTCATCGACAGCGTAGCCACGGGCTATCATTTCAGCCCTGACACACATCTTCACGTGCTTGTGCTCCAGGGGCAGGAAGGGGACAAAGTAGTCGATGAGGTTCCTGTCGATGAGGCTGCTGTGCCACAGTCCACCTGGAGGAGTTGGGGCAAAGGGAAAAGCAGGGAAGAGTCAAGAGAGGAACCCTGTGTTACAAAGTAAAACACACAAAAAATTCCCATTTTCTGGGGAAAGTGACTTACTGTTCTTGTTATTGAAGATTCCCACAGATAGCACGGGCTCCAGGTCTTTCAGCTGAATCTCTTCCCTCTGCTTTCCACTCATCCAGAAGTCAAGAGCTGCTTTATTAATTATGTCACCACCTGCATTGCTGTTCATAAAAGAAAAGCGTACAGTGGTGAACAGAGCCACACTGAACCAGAATTTGGTTTTTAGCCAGTCACCCATGTTGCTAATCTTCTTTACAGCAGAGAAATCAGCA